AAAAGTCACTCGTGAGCGCTGTTCGAGGGAGTCCCTGTATTAAAATATTGAATTTATCTGTCATTCTGTTCATCGCATGAACTGGAGGTTCTGGTGTGATTCTGCCGATGTCAGTTGATTTGCTTGCTATGATGTCCTGAACAAGAAGGAGTAAGGGTTCAGCTTCTACGGGACCCAGCGGGTTGGTCTTTGTCTTTGCCCGATAATAACCAATTCTCTAAATGTCCAGAAGTGTTCATAATAATCATCAAAATCTGGTTGTGAGGTTAGATCAATGAACTGTACCGCGTGGACATCGCTTTAAACACTCCCGCCGGTTGAAACCTATCGCTTAATGTGGGAATCGGGTAATCGAGGCTCGGTTAACAGAGGTTTTGCTGTACGCAGATAGATGTGGGGCTGAATGTTGATTTTGAAATTGGAAGGATTGTGTGAGTAGCAAGGATTTCGAGAGGAAGACAGATTTGATTATGACCCTGCAATAGATCGCGATTAACGTTCCTTATGGTGAAATTATTCATCTGCTAATCTTAATGACGATCAAAACATAAGCAGTTAAATCAGAAAACTTAAATTACAGGGACGTTAATAATTACCAACCAAACATTATAATTTGCCCATTCCTCAGTCAGAGGCTTTAATCTCCGACCCGGCACTCGGCTGCTGTCTTGAGTAAAGGTTATTCGCTCCAGCGACGAAAGCTAGCGTCACAGCAAATGACTTATGAACATCAATTACCTTGCGAACTGCAAGACGCCGATACAGTTGTCGGCGTCCATCGCGTCCAAGAGGAATTCGCAGCAGAGTTCAGTAACTTCCGGTATACAAAAGTACTCAGCCGTCTCGAGCAGCTGACGCGCGTTGTCGGAGCTGATGTCTACCTCGCCAAAATAAATATAATCCAGTATCCGGGTCATCACGTCCGAGCTGACTCCGTGGAGGAGAACATCAGTTTCCTCACTGGTGTGCAGAGATGTCGTGAAGAGGGACCTGGATAAACGGCGAGCAGAAAATTACAAGTCATCCACACAAACTTTCAGTTTTTATTACTCACGTAGCCAAATAAAAGTATCCTTACGTCAATGTGGTGGATGAATTTTTGTTACCTGAAGACTTCAAGAACTCCCAGAATGGGTACTAATGGGACCAGATTAACTGCGAGAGGTTCAAGAGCGGGCGAAGACTTAAAAGAATTTAACCTAAAAATCGGAAATCAAGCAGCAAACATTTGTACTATAGAATGGCCACCTCGTTTCTTACATATCCTTGACTCCTTCAAGAGATGTCTGAGGTTATAACTACTACTACAGAAATTTTAAAGCCAACGCAAATATTTCAACATTCATCGCAGGCTGTACATTCCACTGATTGATCAGTTTGTAATATGAAATCTATTTGCTCTGTCAAAACATTTTCCCGACAATAAACAACTTAAAAGAAAAGCCGATGATTCTATGCAACACACAGCAGCTTTCAATGTTCCGGGCATTACCAACTTTCTTCTGGACTGAGTCGGTCGTCTTTATGTATTAAAACCAAGACGTTTTGGAAATGGATTGATTCTATTTCTCCCTCCAGATCGATTGACTGTCAGATTGGTACAACCGCACTTAAAAAATTAGTACAAAAAACCACTTACGTCTTCTGGGATGTTGTCTCGTAGAAATTATCGGACGTTTCAGAGG